CACACACACACACACACACACACACACACACTGGTCTGGGAACAGTAACTGGAAAGCAGTCAATAAGTAAAATAACCACTCACAGAAAAGGTGGAAGCTTGGGGGCAGGGGGGGTGAGGGGCTTGTCTTTTATGGTTTGTATTTTTGCAAGCTGTGGGTGTGACTCAATTTCCTCACCACCCACATAAAAAGGTTGCCACCCAATCACTGTGTTTTCTATCCAGGAGCCCTCCCCCTTTGAATTTGGCTCGGAGAGACCTTAAGAACGACTGCCCTTTCTGGACATTGCATGCTGTGACATATAAAAGCTGTTAGCAGCTCCTGTAGCCAGCAGCATTCAAACCTTGCAGAGTTTTGCTCTCAGAGTTTGTAATAAGACACACTCTTCTTACAAGAGTTCAAACTACAGCATAGCAAACAACTTAATCGTTTTGGAAGAACGATATATTCATTTTGGCATTGTGCAGAGGTAAGCTCTTTAGCTCGACAAGTTTATTTTGCATGCATTGATCTTAAAGTAGCTCACTTCCCTTTAAGAAACGAGAGTGGAATATTATAAATCTTTTTGTATGTGTTCTGTCACTTGGTGTACAGACATGTCTGGGAGACATTCCCAGCACACTACCTGTTACCTGTGATGTACCTGTTTTTCCATCTCCACTCTCAAGGTGAACTTCCGTGCCTAGAGCGCCCCCCTTGCAAATAAATAGGATTGCAGTCTGTGGTTAGGCGTTTAAGACCAGTGGTTCACCTTCATTTGGGGTTAGCAGCCGTGCTGTTGGATTTTTCCCCCCAGCAATAAGAAGGTCCTCCTTGAGGTCTGTCTCCTATCAGTGAAGTAGCACGAAACCTGACTGTGCTTCAGCTTGCTTTCCAGGCGTAGCTTCCAACTGGTTTGGGGTGTTGGAGAGAATTAAAGTAAGCAGTGCTTCTAAGGGATGACCTGTCAGTTCCCATCTTTGGCCACCCCTCCTTCACCCCCCATTTATTTTTCTTTCTTGACCATAATGCTACCTTTCTGCTTGAACACAAACTAAACTGGGTGACCTCTCCTTCTCCACCCCCAAGATGATCGCCATCTCGGCCGTCAGCGGGGCGCTCCTGTGCTCCCTGCTCTGTGAAGCCAGCGCCGTCATTTTACTCGATTCCGCTGACTCGGCCCCGCCAACCAATAATGCCACTGAGATTGAAGCTGCTCTCGAAGCTCAGCTAGATTCTGTGGACATCCCCAAAGCTAGGCGGAAGCGCTACATTTCACAGACTGACATGATCGCCATTCTTGATTATCACAATCAAGTCCGGGGCAAAGTGTTCCCACCGGCAGCTAACATGGAATACATGGTAAGAAGACCTCTTTTTCTTTGAATTTGGTGGGAGGGAGTTTGTTGTTGTTGTTAAGTTATATGAACTTAGAGGGATAGGTCAGAGACTTGGGGTGGGGGGTGGGGTAATTCATCATAATTTTCTTAAAACTTCCTATATGCCTATTCATCTTAAGTACTGTTTCATCGTGAAATTAAAGGAGGGGGGGTCAACATGAATTTTTAGTCTGTGAAAGCTATACTGAATGATGAACCAACCACCTCTTGCATAAGGAACATGGATAAAGTGTGAGCTGTTTTAACAAATAACCTTTAGACGGTCCATTTTTATTTTCTTTGAGATGGAACTTTTACTGTACTTTCATTCTCTGCGAGTTATCAGTTAAAATATTTCTGGGAGATATTTCTTTAAATTATTGGTTTCATGTGCATGGTTTATTCTCTGGTTCGGAGTCTTTCTGCTTCTTGGACAAAGCTCGTCCCCACACCACTCTATTTCTAGTCGAAGAGAACAAGCTGGCGCTGCCCTCATTGTGACGTCCTGCGCTTTCGTTTAGGTGACAGGTAAGCCAGGACACTTGCACACTGTTCCACTGACAGAGAACAAATCCGGTGTTCTCTCGTTAAAAGTAGGCTCTCTATGCTTAAATCATTTGACTGAGGAAGCACCAACTTCAAGTGGCTACTGAAAGGACAAGCTTGTCTTTTAAAACTCTCTTTATTTCTGATTTTAAATTTCTGGAACATTATGGTTAGACATCCAGCATCTTACAAGAGGACAACTTGGAGCATTGAAAGGCAACGAAGACCACAAAGATGGTGTTTATCAATGGGGTTGGAGGGAGATGGTACCACTAACACATTTTTTTAAGTCTTAACCTTACATTTGTTTTTGTTTTTGTTTCCGATCAGATTCTGAGTTTGTCCTTTTTTATTCACATAACCTTTTAAAGTTTAACTAATGGCAGATGTCAGTGTCATAGAGAAAGGAAAGGTTTTCTAAAGGCCGGGAGCCATTGTGCCAAAAATTAGAATTTAGACAATATGCAAATGGGTTTTCCTAGGATTTCTTAAAACAAAACAAAGATGTAGTTGGTTCTGCTTTATAAGAGACAATAGAAAGCCAAGATTCAGGATATGAACTCTGGAATCTAACTGTTTGGGTTCAGATCCTTGTTCTGAAATATATGAGGGGCCTTCAAAAAAAAATCCTGTATATTTTCTTTCCATATTTCCCACAAACTTTTTGAAGCTGTATGAATTCATAATCATACTATGCTCAATTTTCATCATCTCTAACATTGAGGATTAAAGAGCTATCTGCCTCATAGATTTGTTATAACGAATGTATATGTTGGTTAGCCCTGGGTTGGCACAAACCCTTAAGCACTTGGCAACTAAGGCTGACAGTTTAAATTCACTCAAAGGCACTTTAGAGAAAACAGACTTGGCCAACTACTTATAACAGGTCAGAGCTAACTGAACTCTTATTGAGCAGAATTCTCCTCTGAAACACATGGAGCCACCATGAATTGTATTTAATCAATAGCAGCCACCCCACCCCTCCCCCCAATTTACAGCAATGTAAGAAAACAGTTGATTTGGGGGAAACTTTTTAAGAAAGATGCTCAGTGAAATCAATTCAAGATCTAAACATAGAAAGCATTACCCACATTGAAAATGTGTTATGTGTTCCTAGCAGTTGAGGCCCAAATAAATGTAACATTTTACTATAAACTATGAGAAGATTGTGGAAAAGATTCCACGAGGGCTCAGAAAGCACATAAGCAGACTGAATTTACAGACACCTTCTTGGTAATGAAGGAGCCCTGGTGGTATAGTGGGTTACGCACTGTGCTGCTAACCCCAAGGTCAACAGTTCGAATCCATTAGCCGATTCCGTAGGAGAAAGCAGAGGTCTTCTGCTCCCATAAAGATCGACAACTTTGGAAATGCAAAGGGGAAGCTCGACTTTGTTGTGCAGAGTCATGAGGAATAGGATTTGACTGTGCCAGTGGGGTTGGTTTTTCCTGGGGCGCAGAGCATTGATCTCCAGATGAAGAAATTAATGACTAGGACCACTGAGTCACCTAGGCACCAATCTGAACTCTGCTGCCTGTGCTGTGACCATGTATTACACCAAAACCAAACCTGCTGCTGAGTTCATTCCAACTCATAGTGACAAGAGAGGGCAGAGTAGAACTGCCTCTTTGGGCTTCCCAACCGGTGACTCTTTGTAGGATTAGAAAGCATCGTCTTTATCCTAAGGAGAGGTGAGTGGTTTTGAACTGCTAGCCTTGCAATTAGCAGCATATTCACAAAACCCACTATGCCACCAGGGCTTGTGTGTTACCTATATACATCTCTAAATTTACCATAGATGAAATTTCTTTTATCTGTGAAATGGGAAGAATAATATAGGTAATACATCTTATTACCAATCAATACAGTCTAAGCAATGAATGAAGCGTTGTGTTTTTTTTTTTAATGATATTGCAAACCAAGGGGGCATCATGGATCAAAGACAGGAGAGATAGACTGAAGCATGATTTGTGATCACCGGCAAATCCAGAGGTTGGCTGTTTGAACTTACTTAGAGATGCCCCAGAAGAAAGGGCTGTCAGTCTGCTTCCATAGAGAGAGCCCCTGGAGGACCCGATGCCGCTGCTCGACTCTGCAGCATGTGGGCTTTTCACGGGTGAGACTCAGCTTGGCAGTAACTGGATTGGTCATGGTTTGGCCTTGCGTTAGAAGGGAATGAGATTATGAACAAAATAAATGGGCTGTAGTGTAATTGTCATTTTTTGAAGGTTGAAGCTTGGTCAGGAAAGGGTTTACTCAGAAGGCATAGAAGAGGGTGAGGGTGTTGAGCTACAATATGAGCTTTCAGACAGAGGAAAGGGAAAAACTGATTGGTTGAATTCAGGGGAAATGAAGGCACCTGATTTTAAAAATTCATAAACTAAAAAAGTCATATGAGTCAACTGACCAATGAAATTATCGAGTTCATTGGAATTGCTGATGAAGATGCAGCGAAACCTTCAAGGGAAGTACAATGGCACAGTTAGCTTGGAGGAGGAACCCAGGCTATAAAGTCCACTGCTGTGGAGTCCATTCTCATACTCAGAGACCCAGACCGAGGAGAGCAATGTGAAGGCCCGGACATTTTCTATACTACAAACCCACCGCCATCAAGTCAAATTCAACTTGCAGTGACCCTGAATAGGGTTGCTGTGACTCCGAATCTTTAGAAGAGCCATCTCTCTCTTACAGAGAGGTTGGTGGATTTGATCTGCCAACCTTGGAGTTAGCAACAATTTAGGACTTTCTGCTTATTATTTGGCCACCTTACTAATGGCCTGAGACCCTTCTCCTGGCTTTCAATTAACCTCATCAGAAGATGCTCATTGGTCCAGGGCTTTTTCTAACGGCATCAGCCTCATGCCTCATCCCTTTCATTCACAGCTTTTCTCTCTGAGCCTTGCCCATGCCATTTCTTGACCTGCTAATGTCTCTTCTTTAATTTATGATCTTTATCATCCTGCCCCTCAGGGTTTATATCAAAATGCTGTGTACTTTATAAATATATGTATTTCTTATCCTCACAACCCTATGTCTGCTTTTGAACTACTGTCACTCTTTACAGCTGGCATATGGTTCTCATTGAAATCACCCATGACTTACAGATAGGGGTCAGCCATCATTTGTTACATTTCAGTTGAAATTCCTGTGAATTTTCATATGCTTACACATGTAACGACAGTACTGGTGTTATCCCAGATTCTCTTCTCAAGCAATACACTTCGAGTGCAGTCATCACCTATTGGTCAGTCACAGCATTTGTGTTGGTCGATTCTGAGCAGTATTCCGTGGAGTTTCCAGAGTTAGACAGACTACTGAGGCCCTCGTGATCCACTTCTGAATGATGAGATAACTCTAGATTACACCCACCTGGTCCACAAGGATAGTGCTATTGAACACTAGCTCATGATGAGTGAGGAGCTGACTCCACAACCGCGAACAACAGCAACATAATTATTTTAATATCATTTTCCTCCCACTTTTAATATTTCCCACTCTTACATGACACAAGCAAGTGGCACCTCAATGCTAAGAATATAAATTCTAAAAAATAAGTAGTTTTATATTCTCGAAGTCTTTGGTGATGCTATGTATATGTGGTGACACAAGCAAGTGACTGCTTCACTGCTTATCAAAAGATTAGTGGTTCCAACTCACCCAGCAACTTCGTTGGAAACAGACCAGATATTCTAGCCAAGTTTACGGTCAATAAAACTCTCTGGGACAAGGGGGCGGACTTTATGGAGCAGCTCTACTTCGTCATATGAGGTCACTATGAGTCACAATTCCCTTGAGGGTACTCCACAACAATCAGCACACTCAAGAGTTGGCCTTCGTGTTATGAGTGGTTGGTATGCCCCTCGGATATTTTGTTACTGAGTCTAGTAAATATATAGTTAAAATACTTAATTTTCTAAAACAGTGGCTCTTCAAAGAAATAATAGAGCTAGAACTTAAAATGTGCACGTTGAACTTCTTTTCTTTTGGTTTCTATTCAACAATTTGTTTATTGACTGATTTCCAGAGCTCCTGAGACAACAGCTGGTTTTCATTCTTCCTAAGGGCAGCTTAGACCACAAACCACATTCGTTTCTTAGAGTAAGAATTTCCCCAAGAGAATGAAATAGCAAGACTCACACATAGAGTGAGATTTGGAGATGATTCCCTAAATTCATATCAAGTAAATGAATTAATCTGAGGCTCCTCCATTAGAGCAAGGGTCCTGGGGAGGCACAAAGGTAAAGGCATTCAGAAGCTCCCTGACAGACTGGAGGTTTGCGTCTACCCAGAGGTTGGGGGAGAGGCAGGCACTGGAACACTCTGTGAAGTGCAATTATACTCTGATAAACACGAGGTCCCCGTGAGTTGAAGTTAACTCAATGACAACTGTTTTTAAGCCATGCAATGTTCCTGAGGGGAGGAACAGGGGGATGAGTG